GACCACAGACTTTACCAGTTCTAAGAATATAAGGACAACGATAGAGTCCCATATTTATTGTCAATAATAATGATATAGAATAATTAATTTCATTTTGAAGTTTTTCGGGTTAAGTATAATACTTTTAGTTTATAACTATATACTGCATATACAAACAACATACAAATCAATACATGAGTTTGTCTAGTGAAGCAAAAAAACGTCTTCGTGAATCATTACAACAACAGCGCTTAAATCAAAAGTCAGCCGAATATAATGAGGCAAAAAAGCTTCTCACAGGTTTAACGAATCTTGATTATAAACCTAACCATGAAAAATATACGTATCATAAATATTGGCTTAAATCCGATGGAAATGATACTGCACTTTTGGAAGTATACAAACCCGAAGAGCTTTATTCCCAATATATAATTCGAGTGGCAGAAAAGGGGTTTACTATAGTTGATCATCCTTCCAAAGTTTATGGGCTACCCGACACCCACGAATGTATTGATGGAAGTCTACCTCTTCACCCAGTTCTGGACATCGATGCAAGGCAGTACCCCGATCCCATGAATTCTGAACTCCCTTCCTTAGATAGATATAAAATTTCTCGTGAAGATTTATTATCCAGGATCTTAATTGCCTGTGCCGATATTATATATACCGATTTAAAACACCACATAACTTTAAATGATTTTGCCTTAGCTAGTTTGTCTAATGCCAATAAATGTAGCTGGCATATTGTATATCCCCATGCCTGTTTTATTGACTATAGAGATCTTAAAGGTTTTGTGGAAAAAGTTGCTAATAGGATTGGAAAGCCATACTCAGAATTTATTGATATAGGACTCTATAAATCTCGCTTCAGTCTTCGTCTTCTTGGGTCGGCAAAGGGTGATAGAATTAAAAGACCTACAATTTCTTCAGTTAAGAAAGGATATCGTAAGCTAGAAGATTATCTAGTTCAACCTAGGTTTGATGTTTCTGAAATCTGGCCCCGAACCTTTTCTTCTGAAGAGCCAGTAAAACAAGAATCCCAGCCCATCAATGATGAAAATGCTTTGGTTAAAGGAGCTAATTTAGCTATTGCAGAATATGGGTGGCTCCAGATTGGAAGAATCGAGAAAGGGTTTGTTAACTTTCAATCACAATTGGTTAAAGAATGCCCTATATGCGATGTTAAACATGAAAAAGATCA